GCAGTTGGCCTTCTCACAAGACTTTCCTTCTGTAAGTCTGTGGTTATTAACAGCTATTTCTGTGACCATGGCCAGATATACAGGCTTGCATGCAATGACCATTTCCCCAATTACATCATTAGTTGTCTGTACCCTGTTCTTATTTTTTGGCTTCCATTCGTTTTTATCTTGTTAAGTTACCTATATATTGGCTGCACTTTGGCTAAAGTGGCGACTGTTCAAGAAGGTCTCAAGGCCTTTAAAACATGCATAGCTCATCTTTCATTGGTGGCAATATATTTCATTCCAGTGTTAATCACATTTACTCTGATGGAAAAAATACAGCCAAATGCCAGGATCATGAACCTGTCTTTGACCTCTATTTTTCCTCCCATGCTGAACCCAATCATTTATGTTCTGCAGACACAAGAAATCAAACAATCTGTCAAAAGGTTGTTGAAAATCAGAGGGAAATCCAAAATCATAAAGAAATGAACCATAACGTGACAATTTGCCTCTGTTATACACCATCTCTTTGGGTGCTTTATTTGTTGTAAAGTTGCCATTGTAAATGGCAGAATTATACTTTCTAACATCATGCAATTTTTAGGGAAATTGATTGTAAATTAATTTACTACTCATCAAAGTAATCAACACAAAAAAATCCACTCTGTCCTGTACAATGTTTTCAAAAGTAATGGTAGAAGAAAGATGAAAGAATATGTAAATACCTGAACATTCTAAGTGAATTAAATCATTTTTACTGATATGTATGCTGGTTGTTATTTATTTATTTTGTATTTTTTCTGAAAGAGGTTATAGAATTAAAAAAGCAGCCTGCACTGAAATTTGTTCTTGACAAAAAATAACTGAGAAAAAGTGAAAGTTTGAAAATAAATGTTTATTTGCCTTCTTGAAATCATTAATTGAACAAACAAGTTATTGTTATACAACACTTTGTGTCTCTATGCATGCCACCTTGTTGGAGTGTGCAGTCTACTTTGTTTCTGGAAGTTTATTTATGTATTCATTTACATCTTTGATATATATATATATATATGTATGTATGTATATGTAGAATTCTGATACAATCAGAATTTTGTATTTTTAAAATCAGTGATAACTTGGTTATTTATTGTTACAATTGTTTTGTTGGTCCTCTTTATCACGAGTGTTTTCTAAAAATATAATTTAGTATCTTTTACTGACCTGTAATAAAACAAAACTAAGAGTCTGTGAGACTGTACATAAGCATGATGCTTTGAGCTCTAAGCTAACATATTTTAGAATTGTTTTATTGAAAATATAAAAGTTATAAATAAAAAAGACCTATCAAAAAAGCCCCACTTAATCAGCTTTTTACGACTTATCTTTGGGTATGAGCAGAAAGAGAGAGAGCGAGGTGTCTGTGTGTGTAGCGTAGAATGGACGTGTCTCCACTTCCTCCCACTGTACAATAGTGAAGCCAAAATATAGCATTTCATTTTGAGATTTTCTTCTATTACACAGACTTGTGATGGTTATGGAAAGTTAAAGTCCTGTCTCTTGTACAATTCTGCGACTACTTCACCCAGAGCTGTAAATCACAGCTTTCAATCATGACGTCTCACCCCCTTTTACAGCATCAAATACCTAATTTATACCACACTTATTAGAAAAGTGAACACTTGAACATACATCAGCATGATAAGAACTCCCTAAGATGACAGAAATCATCTATGGAAAAAAGTTATGAGACGTGTATTTGACCTTTTTAGTTTGGGCATGTGCCTGCGTGAAGGGGTGGAATTTATGACCTCTACTGCAGCCAGACACCAAGATCTTTTGGCTTCACTTTTGGGGATCTGTCATGTCGTCCATCTTTATATATAACACTTTATGGTGTGTACGAGGGGAGAGACCATAGATCATATATAAGTGGACGTAGTCCTCGTGACGTCACCCATTGGTTTGTGGACTGCCGTTTTGAAGCTTCTGCGTTTTGGCTGTCGCTATCTTGGATTACGGTCGTCGCCATCTTGACTTTTTGCAACCGGTGAATGGAAGTGACCATATTTGGACTGCGGAGGAGTGACGTAGAGACGGTGTATACCGCTCGGGTAGCGATAGCGAACTGTCAATAACAAGGTAGCCCGCCCTATAGCATACGCTTTATGGTCTATTTTACTCTGAATGGGACAATAATTTACGAAATAGACATCATGCTGTTTTGAAAAAGACTTGAAACTAGCGATTGAGACCATAAACTCATGTTTACTGAGGTAATAAATCAAGTGAAAAGTAGGTTAATTTTCTCATTGATTCATTGACTCATACAATCAGACTTGTATTTGCAACCAGAGGAGTCGCCCCCTGATGGCCATTTGAAAGAATGCACGTTTAAGACACTTCCGCTTTGGCTTCACTCTTCAGAACTGGAGGTTGCTGCCTGGGAGACACAGAGGCAGCTGGCCCCGCCTATTCGCTGCATACAGAGTGGACTGGACAGGAGGAGAGCACAGCGGTCTAGCCAGCAAGTCATGCATGCAAGCAGGCAGTAACTAGTGGGGAGCTAGCGAAGTAACAAGCTATAAAGAGTCACAAAAACAAATGGGATAAAATGTGTCAGGCGATTGTTCTGTATGCGAGAGGCTAAGCTACATTCAACAGTAGTACACAAGAGTTTGGGCTTCCTTCTTTGGCTAAACGTTAGGAAGGGCGAATGACTTAGCATCGTTAGCTTAGACCGCCTAGTGTCCCATTGCTGGAATCTCCTCTGGGCACCCTGGTGTCTTTTTTATTTCATATTGCAGACCATGTATTGAGATACGTATTGAATTCTCTCTGGAGGGGAAAGATACACTCGCCTTAAGCTTTGTTTACATTTAGTGCCATTGAAATTTCAAGTAATGGACTTGTAGCGTGATGGTGTCAAACATATAGCAATCAAAAACGTGCCACTATACATTTAAGTGTCATTTGTGTTATCTGGGGGTGTGCACGGCTTCTAAGTCGTGTAGTTTTGTGACACCCTGTAGCAGCACCGTTGCAGTTCCAGTGTTACACATATATTGGAATACTGTCAGCAGCACCAGGTCCCTCCGGAAAGCAGTCACACTGAGTCTCACTTGGTCGCTTTTTGCACCTTTATACTGAGTTTACAGGCTTTTGATTTGTCACAACTCAGGTTATACTCAAAGTCAAATGTTCTGTGTGATCAATTTCTTCCTCCATACTTGATAAAACTGATTTATTGTAATTTTCTACACTCTTAATTAACTACACAAATAAGATGAACTATAACTTTTCCTCCTGTCATACTTTATGCGCCTTGCTATTTTTACATTACAGTATAATCCAACACTGAATGTTTTACAGGGCATCTTGTTAATTTCTCTACGATTAAGAAAACATCTGAAAGGGACTGACCAGTTTTGGAAAAAGATTCTTTGGACAGACGCACCCAAGATGAACTTGTACCAGAATGATGGGAAGAGAAAAGTGTGGAGA